CCCGTTTGCATTGACCCCCGTCTCGTGTGCCCCGACACGAGGCCCCTCCCCTGCCAGGAAGGCCGAGCCCCCAGCGTGGCTCACGGAGTTCACGGCCCAGGTGACGTGCCACACCCAGCATACCTGCGGCGGTCTGTCTCGGCAAGAGGGGGGGGGGCGGGGCGGAGCCCGCAGAGGGAGGCTAGGGCACGGACCTCCTCGCGCCGCTGCCAAGGAGCGGCCGACAACGATTGGCCCTTCCGCGTCAGACCCGGGCGACGCGAAATAAGCGCGACCGCCGTTCTCTTTTGGATTTCGGCATCTGGATGCCGTTTCCCAGCCCAAGGAATGACCAAAACTGACCAAGATGAAAGACCGGTCCCCGGGAAGAGGTCGAGACCCCCGTGCGTGGGGCCATGTGTGCGGTGGCGGGGGGGGGGGGGAGCACGTCGCGAAAGAAATGCGGTGCCGCAGAAGAAGGTATGGGGGGCCCTGGGACCGTCAACAAAAACCACTCGGAAAGAAAGGCTGGCCCTGAGGACAGTGTCGAGACTTCTGGGAGTCCACGCATTTGAAGAAACCAATTGTCGGATGTTTGGTTTCACGTCATGAAGCACGCCCGGAAGAACTGTGTGCGGCTCTGCGTTGCAACTGTCGTGGGAGCCAAGACCAAGGACAACGAGCAGAACGAGGACCAAGAGCACCCGGAGAAAAAATATACATAGAGAGAGAAGGAAATAAAACTAAGTCAGACTATCACCTGGGATAGTTGATACCCAGCCGGGCCAAGTATGAGGTGCGAAAAAACAGGAGAACAAAACGCGCTCGACGGCCCAATCTTACTCCGGAGCTCGAACTGTCGCTACGCCAACAAAGCCGGCGCCGTGGAATCAAGACAGCTGTTCCTCCCCGAGGGGGGAGGGGGTGCAGACCTGGGGGCCGGGGGTGTGCTCTTTCGGATGAGGATGAGGACCTCTGAGTTTTTTTTCTCGCGTTAGGTGGCCTGGACACCTTTCGCTTCCATCTTATCTTACCTCCTCCTCCTTCCCCTCCGACTCCTCCTTCTCCTCCTCCTGATCCTCCTCCTCCTCCTCCTCCTCCTCCTCCTCCTCATCCTACTCGTACATGTGCTGCACAGAAAGGGGTGGGAGGCACATTCGCGGGTGCACCCAGGAGCGCAACAAGCACACCCACACACCTAGAGAGAAGTTAGTTCCCCCCCCACAGGGAGAGAGTCAACACTGCCATGAACTGATTCATAAACTCACTCCACCCCACTCGACAGCCCGCCCACTAAGAACCGTGCGCCCTCCCTCCCAGAAGCCGTGACAAGACGTAGTACAAAGCGCAAGTGGCGGCAAAATCTGGACCACGAGCGGGCACATGACGATCACGTCGGATTTGATCTGGCGTAATCATACTTGTCCACTATGCGCTAGCCCACTTCGCACATCGGAAGCACATGATAACAAGCTGCGGCTGCACACACACACACACAGACACACACACACACAAACACAAACACACACACACACACACACACACACGCACGCACACACACACACAAACACACACACACACACCACGTGCCATGTTGGCCACCCCGCCGCCACGTGGCACTGTAACTTGTTGTTGGAATGGTGGGGGCTCGGCGTATTGCCCAGTGTGTGATGTCTCGTGAGCTGGCGCACCTGTCGCCGCCTGGCGCACTACGTGCGCGTCGCACATCTGGTCCCGCTGGAACATGCGGCACAGTTGGCGCCAGTGGCGGATCTGGCGCACCAGGCGTGCCTGGCACGCTTGGGCCCTTGGGTCGGCCTGGTGCACCTCGCGCGCGTGGCGCACCAGGTACGCGTGGCGCACCTCGCGACCGTCGAGCACCTGGCTTCTGTATTGTTTCCCGATGACTGTCCGTGCGATGGCGACCTCTGCCTGTGCTGACTCTCGGGTGCTACGTGTATGGTGTGAGGGAGGATGGGAGTGAGCGATGCAGCTTGTTTCGTTCCTTTAGGAAATTGAGCACAAGCCCTTATTCATACGATACACCCTACACCCTCTCCCCCGCCCCTAACCAAGGATAGTGCCGACACTAATCCCACCAACCCTGTCAAACAACAAAACAGCAGATGGTACAATAGAAAACTCAATCATCGCATGGCTTGATAATTTGGCAGGCACCTTGCCTGACCGCAGCTTCGCAGGAAGGGGCGGAAGAGGCCAGACGCACTGATTCCCCTTCCGTTTCAAAGGGTTGTGGCGTTCCCTTTGTGGAGCATCCGCCGACCGAAACGGCCCAAGAAGCTTCCAATATAGACGACGTGAGGGCCCCTAGACGGCCCTAGACGGCCTCAAGATGGTCCCGCGAAGGCCCGAAGAGACCCTCCACGCGGAGAGGATGGCCGCAAAATGGCCCCGGAGAGCCCCAACACGGCCCAAGAAGGACCCCTTCAATACAAGCACTGATTCGGGAAGACCCACTCACAGTAAAAGTGCGCGTAAGAATATGCAAGTATGTCTCTGCATCGGCATCTTACCTAGACCCTGGAAGCAAGCACTGGGGCATCAGACACCGAGCCCCCAGGGTTCCAGCCGCGCGACCCGAAACCAATCCCGAATCCGGAAATGGGAACCCAAAGCCCGGAACCCAAAACCCAGAAACCCGCCCGCCTACCGAAATCGGCCCGGAATGCGCTAGGCCCCCTGAACCTTGACCTTCCAGAGTTCTAAAAAATAGCACTCCAGAACTATAGATCCATCTGGACTGCCTCAAACTTCGACACGAATTAGGACGTCGATGCCCTGGTGCTATGTTTTGACCCTCCTGGGAGGTCAGGGAAGTGCAAGTCCTGGTGTAGGGCATGTGCGGCAAGATCTCGATGCTGCTCGGGCGGGCGTCCCGAGACCACCCTGCAGTGGACAGTGCTGTGGGACAGGGGCGGCGAAAGGGTGCCAGGCGTGTTGCCTGGCGCGTGCAGGCCCACCATCCCTGTCGGAAACGAATGCGAAACACACGCACGCACACACACAAGGAATGCCGCATAAGGAACGATAAATCATGCATAACGCGCAAGGAACGATACACAACGCATGCAAACCTAAGGAACGACCGAGCCTCTTTTGAAAAGTGAGTGTTCCTTATTCAAGCCGCTTACTGTACGTGGGCGCCCCTGGACCACTTCGCACTCCAGCTGGACGAGAATGCAGGGAGGGGCCCTGGCACGCGCGGCGCACCTCGCGAGCGTGGTACGCCTGGCTGGCGTCTGCGCCGGTTCCCCAGGGGTCGTCAAAGGCGGCCCCTGCCTACGCTGAAACTCTGAAACTCGAGTGCTACTGATGTGGGGCGTTTCGAAAAGGGGCCTCGCCTTCGAGAATAGAAGGAGTCGCCATCTCTTCCTCAGCGGAAGGTGGCAGAAGGTCGGCGGAAGGTCGGCGGAAGGAAAACGAGGCCGCCTCCGCCGGCGGAAGGCCGGCGGAGGGTGGCGGGAACAAAAAGTGTGTCCCCGAGAAATGAAAACGTCATTTGGGTTCAGGGTTTCCGAAATCTCCCATGTAGTGGGAGGCCGGATGGGAGTGAGCAAGACGGCCGTCTTCCGGGGGGCAGTTTGACCCCTCCCCCCACCCCTCCCCGTGGTAAGGACGGGTTTCCACGCGAGGTGTCAGAGGGCCCTTTCTGGCCCACGATAGCTCCAAGAGAGCTTCGGATAGCCCGAGACGGCAGCTAAGACGGCTCAAACGAGCCCCAGATGGGTAAACATGCCCTCCGACATGCCTCCAAGAAGCCCCCAAGCCAGCCAAGTATAACTCCGAGCAGCCACGGGGCGCCCGAAGGAGACCCCGAGAGCCGATGGGCCCAAATCACTCAACTTCACGAGTTTCAACATCGCTTGGCTTCTCCAGTGGTCGCTTCCGAGGGGCCTCTGAAGATGATGCCTGCATCGCCCACTGAAGATGTCCCCTGCATCGCCCAAGAGAGCCGAAGACGGCCCTGAGGGTGCTCAGAGCGCCTCAAGAGGGCCCCGAGAAGCAATCTGTCGGGGGCACCCGAGGGACAGCGCTAATTAGCACCCCCCTCCTTCTGTGATCGATGCCCTCCAAGATTGCCCCAAGACCCCCAAGGTCCCTGAAAGGGCCCACAGAGGGTTCCGAAAGCTTGCGAGATGTCGCCCTTAGAAGGCTCCAATATTGCTCCAAGAGGTTCTCAGAGCGAGTGATCCACAAATACCTTCACTCCTGCTGTCGTCGTCGTCGTCGTCGTCGTCTTCCTCATCCTCCTCCGCCTCCTCCTCCTCCTTGACCTCGCCAACGTCGTCACCGTCGCCCCCTTTTTCTCCATCCTCCACCCTCTGCTCTTTCTCCTCCTACTCCTGCTCCTCCTGCTCCTGCTCCTGCTCCTCCTCCTCCTCCTTCCATCTCCCTCGTGTTCCTCCTTCTTTCTCCTCAACCACTTTCTCCTCCGCATATCCTTCCTCTTCCTGGAGGCTCAGGCTCAGCAACTCCACTCATAAGTACGGTCAAGCTGATTGCGAGCTTCGGGCTGACGGACAACTCACCTGTCTGTTCCACTGGATGCTCCTCCACTTCCCTGGTGGAAAATTGTCTGGAGATCGTTTCTGGATGGGCTGGTGGGGGTACACGAAGTGTGAATACTGGAAACGCTGGGGCTTGCGTGTTTGCTTGCGCGCTGGCCAGGCAGGCTGGGAGCCCGAAGTGCGGCAGAGGGCTTGTGCGCAGTGAGGTTCGATAGAACAGGCCGCTGGGGCACGTCTTCGCTTATGCGCTGGCCGGATGTGCTGGTACCAGGAAGTTGGCATGACTCGGGAGCCGTGGCCAGCAAGAAGACAAGCCACTGGGGCTTGCTCTTCCGTGCGCCTGGCCCCCGAGAAGGCCTGCTGGAGCAAGCGGGCACGCTTGGAGTGAGCTTCCTGACAAAGCGGCTTGCCAACAACGCCGGCGACGCCAGGCTAACAAGCCTCGAACTGATCCCTATCCCTAAGACTGACGAGCCAAGAGGCGATGACAATCTGAGGGATGCGCCTTCCGAAACTGAGAGGACACTTGCGATTGGCATCGAGATGCGGCCATGCCAAGCACAGGGATCGGGATGTGCCCCAGGCTGGACAGAAAAGGTGCGCCGCACGCGGGCGCGCGCGCCCGGCATGCACCTCCTGGCTTGCACACGTGCCACGGCACGGGCGCTGCGGTGGCTGCCGGTCGCGAGCGGGCAGGCCTGGAGTGAGCTTCACGGCGAGCGTCTTGGCATCAACGTGGCGACGGGACGTGTGCGAGCGGGAAGCGGGGGGGGGGAAACGAGAAGGGGAAGGCCTTCTCATAAGGCGGCGGGGCTTCTCAGAAGCCCTCCGGCCTTCTGGAAAGTGCTCTGTCGTCTGCGTCTCTTCAAGGAGGCCCAGGCAACTTCTGAGAGGGCCCGAAGCCTTCCGAGCCTTCTGAGAAGGCCCCCCCTCTCACTTTCCCCATAGCGCCGCCGAAACAAATGAGCGGGCAGGTTCGGAGCGAGCTTCCAGAACATCGAAAGGAGGAGGAAGCGGGAAGCGGACGAGGAGGAGGGATGAGCGGAGGGCGAGGCGGAGGCGGAGGGGGGGCGGAGAGGGAAGAGCATGATGGTGAGGAGGTGGGAAGGGAGGAGGAGAAGGCAGGAGTGGAAGGAGACGGAGGACAAAGTAGTACTTGCAAGCAAGATTTCGCTTGCAAGTTACCTGGGGACAAGAAGACCTCGAGATTGGTATGCCGCGTACGTGCCTCAGGAACTACTGATTGCGCTCCTGGCATCATTCGATGTCAACGTTCACGCGATCGCTGTGAGCTGCGGAAAAGGTGCAACGAGGTACACTCTAGCGACTCTGGCAGAGTCTTAAAAAGTTCGCATTTGAGCGGAAAAATAGGCTCCACATTGTCCCAGCTTAGGCTCCCTGTGCACAAAGGCACACACACACGAACTCAACTCTACCACGTGGGAATACTGCTAGCTGTATCCTAGCATGTCGAGTGGAAGCTGGGGACCAACACGGCCAGAAAAATTAGAAAACAAAAATCTGCAGCGCCTGTCGCTGCAAAGGTAGTCGGCCGAGGCGGCACACGCTCGAAAACGCTTGCTCGCCGACGTGTCCTGACTCAGTCGGAAGCAACTGACGACAGATCCATTACAACCGTGTCCTGGCTGGCAGACATTCCGAAAGACAGCAGCGGATGAGTGCAAACGACTCCTGAGCTGCCTGGAAGCAGTCCCCACCACCACCTGCGCCGCCGCTTCCCGAATGGAAGCGGCGCTCCCGCGCCAAAGCTCAGACACGCTGCCGAGAGGAGAGAGACCGCAGAAACTGCAGAATGGGAAACCGCATGGGCCCGAACCCCAGGTCTTTGGACGCTCGAAATGGGTACGGAAAAAATGTGTACAATGCCCTGCAACAAATATTCTCCAAAACCGACAGCGTCCGCCGTTGGGCAGGCGGTTTTTTGTCTTCAAAAGACAACGTCCGTGTTGGCGCAGTCAGCGAGTCCTGTTCAGAATTAACAGGGACTGCTGTTGTGCATCGTACCCAGTCGTTCCACACCCATCTCGATCGTCCCGAATGTCTGGCGCTAAATCGTCAGACCTGGTCCCGGCACGCACGCCCAGGTGCCCGCCCAGAGGTGCCGACGAGCAGGGCCTCACCCACGACCGAGGCAAAACTGGGGACTGGCAGCACCGGAGATGGACAAGCGCGTTCCACTACTCGCAAAGTAACTACTCGCAAATGGCCTGGATCCACCGCGGGGGACTGTCGATACATTGCGCAGAGGACGACATGTTTTTTTCTGACGTTTGCGAGTAGGCACTTTGCGAGCAGTGCAATGCGCTCGGTGAGGAGAGGCGCAGACGTGGAGGCCAAGAAGATTCAGAGCGACCAGCGTGGCTCCGGCACCTTCGCCGCCTCAGGGCCCGAGGCTAGGGTGTGGCGTCACCTCTGCCTCCGCCGGCGCGTGCTGGATCGATGCAGTCCGCGACGACTGCGGGCGCCCCGCTGATGCCATAGAGGTCCCAGCATTGCTCGCCAGGGACGTCGATGGCCCCCAAGAGGGCAGCGCGGCCGAAGGGCCGAGGGGTACCCCCCCCTCCGCGGCCCAGGCGGCGACGCCGCCCCGCCGCTGACTCAGCACCCGCACCAGGCGGGGACGACGCCCGCCGGGACCATGCACGCAATGCCCATCTGCCCCTGTGCCTGCGCGCCGCCCGGCGAAGCGCAGAACATCTGGGGCTGCTGCACCGGCACCCATGAGAACTGCATCTGGCTATCTTGCTCGGAGCTCTTTCGCTGTTCGAACGGCATGGCCATGCCAGCCACCGCCCGCGCTGGCACCTCGCAGCTGGGCTGCACGGGCATGCCTGCAGCCACCATGCCCTGGGCCGGCTGCATGAAGTTCAGGAAGCTGACCTGCCAAATCTGGACGCCGCACCCCGCGCAGAAGCGCCCCGAGCCGCAGGTAGGGCAGATATGCCTCTGACAGGTCTGGACGGCGGGAGCGTCGCGCTTGCTGCTCGCCCTGGGCGCAGCAGGCTGCTCCACTGGCGACTTCGGCTTCTTGGTAGCGACGCTCGTGCGAGTGGGGGGCACCGCCCCAGCTCTGCTGCAGGCGTCCTTTGCCCGCGCCAGCTGGGCCTCGTCGGCAGCATGCTCCTCGCTGTCACTCTCGGGCACCTTCGGCAGCGACTCGACGCTGTAGCCATCAGGGTCCGAGACAAAAGCACGGAGCTCCCGGCAGGCCTCGGTGACCGACGCCTTGACCCCGAGCACCACCACATCCTGGCAGGGTCGACCAAAACAGCGATTTGTGTCTTCGGTTCGTTTCCGCCGTGAGCACTTTAAAACGAAAACAGCTCTTCCGATGGCCCCAAACAGTGATGTGGCGCAACACCGAAGACGTGCCCGGCCGATGGCAGGCCCTGAGACAAAAGCAGAACGATCGTTACGAGAAAACGAAAACGACCCGTGAAGGTACGCCACGTATTCCTCTTCCTATATTTGTATAAGCCCGGGCGGGGGGAAAACCCGTCCCCCCCCAACAAAAAACCGGACTCCTGGGATCTGGGGCTTTGGGACCCTCCAGACGGGCCTCGAAGCGGCCACCGGGCCTCACATGGCGTTTTGCCCAGCCTTCCCAGCACACCTAGGGCGATCAGGGGGGTCATCGGAGACGTCCCAGAGACCCCCAAGACAGCACAAGAGCGCTCCAAGAGTGACCGACGTGACCTCAAGATGGCCCAAGAGACCTCCAGGACGGCCCCAAAGAGACCTCCAAGAGCACTCTCAAGAAGGCCCCCCGAGGCAAAAATCATTGATTTTCCAATGGTTTTGGTGAATTTTAGGGTTATCCTCTTTTCGGCTTCCCGACGCTCAAAGACGGCGGTCTTCTGGGCGTCCGAAGCCGCCTGGGAGCCTCTAAAATCGCCCCACAACCATCCCAAAGGGCTTCCAGGCAGTCCAAGAGAGCCCCAAAACGGCACAACACGGGTCCAAGATGGCCCTCAGAGAGCCCCATGGCGGCCCAAGATGGCCCAAAGACACCCTCCGAAGAATTCCAAATCGTGATTCGGTCGTTCAGGGAGACCGTGGTTGGAGACAGGGTGGCCCGAGGAAGCCCCCGGAGGCCCCCGGAATACGCCCAGGAGGTCTCCAGAAGGCCTTGAGAAAGCCTGAAACAACTTTTGTGAGGCCCCTAGCCTAGAGGCTCTCCAAGGAGGAGCCTCCGCAAAACATGATCGACCCACGAACCCGGAAAGGAATATAGAACTGCAACACATGGCAGCGTTTTCGAAGTCACCTGATTGGGTGACGGGCAAATGCAATGCTGAAGATATCGATCTTGATGTACCCTGCCGAGTGCTGTGCTGTGCTGCACCGCGCTGATTTGCGATGTGCCATGGCGCGATTGTGCTCTATAGCGTCGTGGATCGAGTCCTCCTTTGCATCCGAGTCCTGACCGAACTGATCTGGATCTTAGGCTCGAGCTGCTTGAACACATAGTAGCTGCCCCAGAGCTAATTGACAGGGTAACATGCCAGGAGGACGCGCCGCGAAACATCCCAAGGGATGCGCCAGGCGACGTGCCAGGGGACGTGCCATGGGGTCGCATCGCGGGACGTGACAAGGGGACGCGTTGAGGAAAGTGCCAATGGATGTGCCACGGGATGTGCCAGGGGACGCGCCACGCGACGTGCCAGGGGGACTCGCCAAGGGACGCCCTACAGAACGTGCCAAGGAAAGTGCCAAGTTGCAATGCTGAGTGTATCGATATTGATGTACCGTGCCAAAATCTGTGCTGTGCTGCGCCGTGCTGAATTGCGATGTGCCATGGCGCGATTGTGCTCTATAGCCTCGCGGATCGAGTCCTCCTTTGCATCCGAGTCCTGACCGAACTGATCTGGATCTTAAGCTCGAGCTGCCTGAACACATAGTAGCTGCCCCAGAGCTAATTGACAGGGTAACATGCCAGGAGGTCGAGACGCGGAACGTCTCAAGGGACGCGCCAAGCGACGTGCCAAGGGACGTGCCATGGGGACGCACCGCCGGACGTGCGTGCCAAGGGGACGCGCTACGGAACGTGCTGGGGACAAGCGTTTCTCTCGAGACATCCTGTCAAAATCATCAGAATTCCTGCGCGCGGGACGTGGCACGCGCGACATCCTCGGAATTCCTGCGAGCGGGACGTGAAAACAAGCATTTCGCCTGAGACATCCTTTGAATTCTGCCCCCCACGAGGCCCCCGCTCGAGACATCTTCCAATTTTGCAAAACCAGCGTTTCGCTCGAGACATCCTCAACATTTGTTTTTTTCAACAATTATCCTGGCGAAGGACCCAACCATATGCAGTTGTGAATGCCGCAATTGTGAATAGTTACCATCTCCGCCCGCGCTCCCTATGTGGCCACGGCTCCCCGCCGGAGCCCGACATGCTCAGGGACACGTTCGTGGCCGTCTTCGCGGGCGCCGACGACGACAAGGACGGCGTCCCTCTCACCGAGGAGCAGAAGCAGGAGAGGGGCCTTGAGAGCCATGAGGAGGTGGCGTTGCACGTCGACAAGGCGGAGTACGACGCCCAGGCGCGGTTGTTGAACCAACACAACTATGGAGCCACGATCCTCGTGAGGGATGTGCCGCAATGGCCCGGGGCCGCCATGCGAACCCTGCCACTGGCGCCTTCGGTGGAGCTCCAGTGGGGCCACGATCCTCGTGAGGGGTGTGCCGAAATGGCCCGAGGCCGCCATGCGAACCCTGCCACTGGGGCCTTCGGTGGAGCTCCCTATGGGGCCACGATCCTCGTGAGGGGTGTGCCGAAATGGCCCGAGGCCGCCATGCGAACCCTGCCACTGGGGCCTTCGGTGGAGCTCCCTATGGGGCCACGATCCTCGTGAGGGGTGTGCCGAAATGGCCCGAGGCCGCCATGCGAACCCTGCCACTGGGGCCTTCGGTGGAGCTCCCTATGGGGCCACGATCCTCGTGAGGGGTGTGCCGAAATGGCCCGAGGCCGCCATGCGAACCCTGCCACTGGCGCCTTCGGTGGAGCTCCATGGGGCCACGATCCTCGTGAGGGGTGTGCCGAAATGGCCCGAGGCCGCCATGCGAACCCTGCCACTGGGCCTTCGGTGGAGCTCCCTATGGGGCCACGATCCTCGTGAGGGGTGTGCCGAAATGGCCCGAGGCCGCCATGCGAACCCTGCCACTGGGCCTTCGGTGGAGCTCCCTATGGGGCCACGATCCTCGTGAGGGGTGTGCCGAAATGGCCCGAGGCCGCCATGCGAACCCTGCCACTGGGGCCTTCGGTGGAGCTCCCTATGGGGCCACGATCCTCGTGAGGGGTGTGCCGAAATGGCCCGAGGCCGCCATGCGAACCCTGCCACTGGGCCTTCGGTGGAGCTCCCTATGGGGCCACGATCCTCGTAAGGGGTGTGCCGAAATGGCCCGAGGCTGCCATGCGGACCCTGCCAATGGCGCCTTCGGTGGAGCTCCCTTTGGGGCCACGATCCTCGTGAGGGGTGTGCCGAAATGGCCCGAGGCCGCCATGCGAACCCTGCCACTGGCGCCTTCGGTGGAGCTCCCTATGGTGGCCACGATCCTCGTGAGGGGTGTGCCGAAATGGCCCGAGGCCGCCATGCGAACCCTGCCACTGGAGCCTTCGGTGGAGCTCCCTATGGGGCCACGATCCTCGTGAGGGGTGTGCCGAAATGGCCCGAGGCCGCCATGCGAACCCTGCCAGTGGGGCCTTCGGTGGAGCTCCCTATGGGGCTGCGAAACGCTGTGCTGGGTGGGTGAAACGCAGGGATGAGGGGAAGGGGGGAGGGGGCAGCGGGAGGAGTGGACGCGGGGCGCTGTCTCTTCAAAACGAGGACCCAACACCACAGGATGGTTGGGAAAAAAAGCATCGCTCGAGACTTTCTGCCAATGTTTTTTAATCATTGCAAAACAAACGAATTAGTCGAGACATCCTCAAAATTCCTCCGCGCGGGACGCGGCACGCGCGAGACATCCTCGGAATTCCTACGAGCGGGACGTGAAAACAAGCATTTCGCCTGAGACATCCTTTGAATTCTGGCCCCCCACGAGGCCCCCGCTCGAGACATCCCACAATTTTGCAAAACTAGCGTTTCTCTTGAGTCTTGAAACGTCCTCGACAAAAAAAAAAAACATTTCGCTCGAGACATCCTACCAAAATTCAACGACATCCTGGAAAAAGAAACAAATTTGTAGAGACATCCTCGAAATTCCTGCGCGCGGAACGCGGCACGCGCGAGACATCCTTGGAATTCCTGCGCGCGGGGCGCTTTTCCGCGTCGCGGTCGGCTCTGCAAAACCAGCGTTTCGAACAAGAAATCCTCAACAAATTCTGAAAACAAGCGTTTCGCTCGAGACATCCCCAACTCTGTAAAACCAGCGTTTCGCTCGAGACATCCTCAACAAATTCTGAAAAACAAGTGTTTCGCTCGAGACATCCTCCCAATCAATTCCGCCGGCCCACCTCGACCTTGAAAATTTAATTTCGCCGGCCCACCTCCCGCATGGCACCGGGGACAGGTTTACCTACTAAAAGAAAACCCTAGGCCCTGGGACGAAGCCCTTTTCGGATAAACATGATGGACCCACGAACCCGGAAAGGGATAAAGACATGTGCAGCATGGTCACGTTTTCACGATACCCAACTGGGCGACATCTCACGAAACATCCCACGAGACACCCCGCGAAACATCCCACGAGACACCTCACGAAACATTCCACGAGACACCTCACGAAACATTCCACGAGACACCCTTTGAAACATTCCACGAGACACCCCACGAACAGGCAACCACTCAACCAGACACGCCACGAAACATTCCACGGGGGTGCGACTGGGTGTGGTCGTGCTGGGGTGTGGTCGTGCTGGGGTGTGGTCGTGCTGGGGAGTGGTCGTGCTGGGTGTGGTCGTGCTGGGGTGTGGTCGTGCTGGGGGTGGTCGTGCTGGGGTGTGGTCGTGCTGGGGTGTGGTCGTGCTGGGGGGTGGTCGTGCTGGGGGGGTGGTCGTGCTGGGGGGTGGTCGTGCTGGGGGGGTGGTCGTGCTGGGGCGTGGTCGTGCCACCCCGCGAAACATCCCACGAGACACCTCACGAAACATTCCACGAGACACCTCACGAAACATTCCACGAGACACCCTTTGAAACATTCCACGAGACACCCCACGAACAGGCAACCACTCAACCAGACACGCCACGAAACATTCCACGGGGGTGCGACTGGGTGTGGTCGTGCTGGGGTGTGGTCGTGCTGGGGTGTGGTCGTGCTGGGGAGTGGTCGTGCTGGGGTGTGGTCGTGCTGGGGGGTGGTCGTGCTGGGGGGTGGTCGTGCTGGGGGGTGGTCGTGCTGGGGCGTGGTCGTGCTGGGGCGTGGTCGTGCTGGGGCGTGGTCGTGCTGGGGCGTGGTCGTGCTGTGGTGAGGTCGTGCTGGGGTGTGGTCGTGCTGGGGTGTGGTCTTGCTGGGGTAGGGTCGTGCTGGGGTCGGGTCGTGCTGGGGTGTGGTCGTGCTGGGGTATGGTCGTGCTGGGGTGGGGTCGTGCTGGGGTGGGGTCGTGCTGGGGTCTGGTCGTGCTGGGGTGTGGTCGTGCTGGGGTATGGTCGTGCTAGGGTGGGGTCGTGCATTTCGCTCGAGACATCCTGCCAAAATTCCAGGAAATCGTACAAAAACAAACAAATTAGTCGAAACATCATCGAAATTCCTTCGCGCGGGGCGCTTTTCCGCGTCGCGGTCGGCTCTGCAAAACAAGCGTTTCGCTCGAGACATCCTCGGCAAACTCTGCGGAGCAAGCGTTTCGCTCGAGACATCCTCAACTCTGCAAAACCAGCGTTTCGCTCGAGACATCCTCAAGAAATTCTGAAAAACAAGCGTTTCGCTCGAGACATCCTCAAATTTTAATTCGCCGGCCTCCTTCGACTTCGTTATTTATCAGGGAAAAAATTCGCCGGCCTCCCTCAAGTTGGCACCGGGGGACAGGTTTACCTACTAAAAGAGAACCCTGGGCCCACGCCCTTTCCGGGAAAAACAAGCATTTCTCTCGAGACATCCTGACCAAATTCAAGGAAATCCTATAAAAAAACACTGAATTAGTTAAGACATCCTCGAAATTCCTGCGCGCGGAACGCGGCACGCGCGAGACATCCTTGGAATTCCTGCGCGCGGGGCGCTTTTCCGCGTCGCGGTCGGCTCTGCAAAACCAGCGTTTCGAACAAGAAATCCTCAACAAATTCTGAAAACAAGCGTTTCGCTCGAGACATCCCCAACTTTGCGATTAGCCGAGACATCCTCAAAATCTTGCGCGCGGGACGCGGCCCGCGCGGGACATCCTTGGGATTCCGACGAGCCGGATACGAAAACAACCATTTCGCTTGAGACATCCTCTGAATTCTGGCCCCCACGAAGCCCTCGCTCGAGACATCCCAAAATTTTGCAAAACCAGCGTTTCGCTCGAGACATCCTCAACAAATTATGAAAAATAAGCGTTTCGCTCGAGACATCCTGCCAGCATTTCAAGAATTCCGGATAAAACAAGCGAATTAGTCGAGAAAGCCTCGAAATTCCTGCGCGCGGGACGCGGCACGCGCGAGACATCCTCGGAATTCCTGCGCACGGGGCGCTTTTCCGCGTCGCGGTCGGCGCTCCAGACATCGTTATTTGTCGAGGATTCAGCGAAAAACGCTCCGCACCCTATTTTTAACGAGGGAAAGCGGGGGTCTGCGGACCTCGTTTTTTTATCGAGGATCCGAAATGGGAGGCGCACTTTCCTCGAACGGGCACGCGCGAAACGCACTTTTTCGAAACAATCCGCACTTTACCTCGTTATTTACGTAGAATGCTTTCGCCGGCCCCCTTCAAGTCGAAACTGGGGGGTACACCAGCTAAAAGAGAACCCTGGGCCACGGCCATTTCCGGGAAAAAGGAGCATGGAGGAAGGATAACGACTAACATTATTATACCGGCGATGCCAGAAAAAGCAACCCGGAGTTATCGCTAAATTGTCAGCTTGACCTTCCTGTTATTCCGCCTGCATACCAAACTTCAAGGACCAAGGTGCATGGCGCGAAGCGCCACTGCAGTCTTGTATGTATGTATGTATGTATGTATGTATGTATGTATATATATGTGTATATACACACGGACACCCTCCGACGAACTTTGCATGTACCTTCAGCGCGGGCATCGGTGTCTAAAGTCGCTGGGTTTCGGTGATGATCTATCCACCGCCAGCCTCCCCTGAGGCCCAGGAACAGTCCAGTGGAGGGCGTCTGATGATGTATATCTTTTAATGGCGCAGAGAATGCCAAAACAACGTTTTGGTCGACCCCCTGCGTCCTGGTGCTCCACTCGCAGCGTGACGCCGAACGCATGGGCGAGGGCCTGCAGCGTGTCGACGGACAGCGCGCCGGCCGGGCCTCCCGCGCTCACCGCCTCCTCGACGCACGTCTCCGCGAACTCGTCCAGCAGCCGGTCCGCCACGGCGATGCCCTCCTCCAAAGATGCCAGAGAGGCACGACCCCCGAGCTTTGGTCAGAGCTCCGCGTGGGGTTCCTGGATCGGTGCCGGGCCCTTGCCCCCTGGCGTGGGGTTCTCAACAGCCCGTGTGGTGACAGGCGGCGCGGCGACTTCGGAATCCCACGATGCATCACTGCATGGTCCGTCACCGCACGGTGTTGGGACCCTGGAGGCCCCCCAAGTCGCCCGAGACGCCCTCGGAAAACGACCCGAGTCCCGAAACCGTGCAGTGGCCCCAGATTCCACACTGACTCACCACACGGTATGGTCACCACACCGTTTAGGGACTCTCATCCCTGGCACGCGGAGCGCGCCAGGGGCGGTGCCGGATGCGCCGCCATAGGGGCCCAGGCGCCGATGCAAGAATTCCGCGCGGAGCTCCGAAAATTCATGGCTGCGCAAATTATTATATTTCGACTCCTTTGGCCCAAACAGCCGAGCCTCCTGCTTGCCTCGCTCGATGTGGATGCGGCAGCCGCTGCGTTCCTGGATGTGCGCGATGGTCGCGCGTGAGCTGTGGCGGAGCGTGCGCGTTCGCATCAGCTCTGCCCACACCGCTGGTGCCAATGGCTTGCACGGGCCACTCAAGTTCTCCAGGTGCCGCCGCACGGATCGGATCGCCTCCTGTAGAGGAACAAAAGATCGGCATGCGCCTAAAACTTTCGGCGCTGGGCCCCCCTGGCGGCGCCCGTGGCGCCGCCTCTGGCGCGCTCCGCGCACCAGGGAGGAGGGCCCAGCGCCGCTCCAAGAGATCCGCGCGGACCTCCCGAAGTGCAAGCATAACTATGCTTAGGTCGGGCGCGTCCTCCTCAGAGCGGGCTTCGGAGGAGAAATTATTCACTGCGTGGGGATCCCCATATGTGCATCTCCTTGCTGGCGCTCCCTTGGTGGTGGGACTCGGTGAGGACGAATCTGGATTTAAGTGTGACTGAGCTGCCTCTCTCTCTCTCTCTCTGCTCTCTCTGTCTCTCTCTCTCTCTCTGCCCTCTCTCTGTCTCTGCCTCTCTTTCCCTGCCTCTCTCTCTCTCTCTGCCTCTCTCTCTGCCTCTGTCTCTCTGCTCTCTCTCTCTCTCTGCCTCTCTCTCTGTGCCTCTCTCTCTCTGCCTCTATCTCTGCTCTCTCTCTCTCTCTCTCCTCTCTCTCTTCTCTCTATTCTCTCTCTGCTCTCTCCTCTCTCTCTCACTCTCTCCTCTCTCTCTCTCTCTCGCTCTCTCTCTTCTCTTCTCTTCTCTCTCTCTCTCTACTCTCTCTCTCTCTCTCTCTTTCTCTCTCTATCTCTCTCTCTCTCTCTCTCTTCTCTCTCTCTCTCTCTCTTTCGCTCTCTCGCTCTCTCTTGCTCTCTCTCGCTCTCTGTCGCTCTCTCTCGCTCTCTCTCTCTCTCTCTCGCTCTCACTCGCTCTCTCTCGCTCTCTCTCGCTCTCCCTCGCTCTCTCCCGCTCTCTCTCTCTCTCTCTCTCTGCTCTCTCTCTCTCTCTCGTCTCTCGCTCTCTCTCTCTCTCTCTCTCTCTCTCTCTCTCTTCTCTCTCTCTCTCTCCCCCCCCCTCTCTCTCCACTCTCTCTCTCTCTCTCTCTCTCCTCTCTCTCTCTCTTCTATCTCTATCTCTCTCTCTCTCTTCTCTCTTCTCTCTCTCTCTCTCTCTCTCTTCTCTCTTCTCTCTTTCTCTCGCCTGTCTCCTCTCTCAACTCTCTCTCTCTCTCTCTCTCTCCGCTCTCTCTCTCTCTCTCTCTCCTCTCCCTCTCTCTCGCTCTCTCTCTCTCTCTCTCTCTCTCTCTCTCTCTCGCTCTCTCTCTCTCTCTCTCTCTCTCTCTCTCTCTCTCTCTCTCTCTCTCTCTCTCTCTCGTCACGGGCTCGTGAGATCAGCCAGGGTGGCTCCCCCTTGGGGCTCCCAAATGATGCCCCTGGCAGCGTTTTGTGACCATGAGGCTCTCAAGAGATACATGTTGGGGAGGCCAAACGGCAATTCTAGCTGAGGCGTCCCACCAAAATCGGCGCGAACGGGCTCGTGAGATCAGCCAGGGTGGCTCCCCCTTGGGGCTCCCAAATGATGCCCCTGGCAGCGTTTTGCGACCATGAGGCTCTCAAGAGATACATGTTGGGGGCGCCAAACGGCAATTCTAGCTGAGACGTCCCACCAAAATCGGCGCGAACGGGCTCGTGAGATCAGCCAGGGTGGCTCCCCCTTGGGGCTCCCAAATGATGCCCCTGGCAGCGTTTTGTGACCATGAGGCTCTCAAGAGATACATGTTGGGGGCGCCAAACGGCAATTCTAGCTGAGACGTCCCACCAAAATCGGCGCGAACGGGCTCGTGAGATCAGCCAGGGTGGCTCCCCCTTGGGGCTCCCAAATGATGCCCCTGGCAGCGTTTTGTGACCATGAGGCTCTCAAGAGATACATGTTGGGGGCGCCAAACGGCAATTCTAGCTGAGACGTCCCACCAAAATCGGCGCGAACGGGCTCGTGAGATCAGCCAGGGTGGCTCCCCCTTGGGGCTCCCAAATGATGCCCCTGGCAGCGTTTTGTGACCATGAGGCTCTCAAGAGATACATGTTGGGGGCGCCAAACGGCAATTCTAGCTGAGACGTCCCACCAAAATCGGCGCGAACGGGCTCGTGAGATCAGCCAGGGTGGCTCCCCCTTGGGGCTCCCAAATGATGCCCCTGGCAGCGTTTTGTGATCATGAGAGAGTGTGAGTGTGAGCTTAACTTATCTTATCTTATCTTGAAATCTCTTCTTATCATATCTTGTGCTATCTTATCTTATCTTGTAGTATCTTATCTTGTCTTGTCTTATCTGGTGATTATCATTGGGAGGAGGGAGGCGCGAGCGGGAGGAAGAAGGAGGAGGAGGAGTGGGAGGCGTCAGAGTAATAACAAGAACCCCAATCCTTAGGATATGGGGAATAAAAGCATGATCGACCCACGAACCCGGAAAAAAATATAGAAATGTAAGGCGCTGCAACGTTTCAAAGACACCTGATTGGGCGACGGGCACATGCAATGCTGAATGTATCGATGATGGTGTACTGTGCCGAGAGCTGTGCTGTGCTACGCCGTGCTGAACTGCGATGTGCCATGCCGCGATCGTGCTCTATACAGCGTTGTGGATCGAGTCCTCCCTGGCATCCGAGTCCTCACCGAACTGATCTGGAGCGTAAGCTCCAGCTGCCTGGGCAGATGGTAGCTGCCCCAGAACTAATCGACAGAGGCAACATGCCAAGAGGACGCGCCGCGGAACGTCCCAAGGGACGCGCCAGGCGACGTGCCAGGGGACGTGCCATAGGGACGCACCGCGGGACGTGCCAAGGGGACGCGCTACGGAACGTGCCAATGGACGTGCCGAGGGACGTGCCAGGGGACGCGCCGCGCGACGTGCCAGGTGAACTCGCCACGGAACGCGCCAAGGAACGTGCCAAGGTGCATAGTTGAAAATACCGATCTTGATGTACCGTGCCGACGGCTGTGCTGTGCTGGGCCGTGCTGAACTGCGATGTGCCATGCCGCGATCGTGCTCTATACAGTGTTGTGGATCGAATCCTCCCTGGCATCCGAGTCCTCACCGAACTGATCTGGATCGTAAGCTCGAGCTGCCTGAGCAGATGGTAGCTGCCCCAGAACTAACCGACAGAGGGAACATGCCAAGAGGACGCGCCGCGGAACGTCCCAAGGGACGCGCCAGGCGACGTGCCAGGGGACGTGCCATGGGGACGCACCGCGGGACGTGCCAAGGGGACGCGCTACGGAACGTGCCAGTGGAGGTGCACCGCGCGACGTGCCAGGGGGACTCGCCACGGGACGCTCCGCAGAACGTGGCAACATGCCAGGCTGCAATGCTAAGGGTATCGACATTGATGCACCGTGCCGAGGGCTGTGCTGTGCCTGGGCGACCTGGACACGTGAAAACACGCGTTTCGCTCAAGACGTTGTCAGCACATCCTCATGCTAGACATCCGCCTGGGCAACCTGGACACGTGCAAACAAGCGTCTCGCTCGAGACATCCTCAACAAATGCTCATGCTAGACATCCGCCTGGGCGACCTGGACACGTGAAAACAAGCCTCTGGTTCGAGACATCCTCAACAAGTCCTCATGCTAGACATCTGTCTGGGCCACCTGGAGGCGTGACACCAAGCGTCTCGCTCGAGACATCCTCAAGACCTGGGCATGTGAAAACAAGCAATCCACTTGAGCGATCCTCAGAATTCAGGTCCCCAGGAGAGGGCAATCTATAACACAAAACAAGCGTTTCGCTCGAGACATCCTCAACACATTCTGAAAAACAAACGTTTCGCTCGAGACATCCTCAACTGATAATTCGCGGGCCCTGCGCGACCTCGTTATTTATCGCAAAAGAAATCCGCCGGCCCTACAGCCGTCAGATCCAGGGGTAAACCTCTAAAAGAGAACCCTGGGCCTGCGCCCTGTCCGGGAAAAATGACCAGCAGAAGCCCAAACATAGTCAAACATTGTCAAAAATCGTCCCCAGACTATTTGGTTTACTATTTGTGAGCACTCCTCCTGTAGAGGGACACGCCCGACTTAAAACTGTGCGTTGCTTGGCCCCTCGATCCTCCGAGCCCGAGACGCGCAGGGAGCTCCGGGCGCGGTCGAGCTTCAGCAGGGCCTGGCAGCTGGCCTGGATGTCGCGCAGGCGGCGCCTGCTGCGGCGGTAGAGCATGCCCAGCAGCTCAGGGTCGAGGGTCGGGTGTTGCTAGAACTCCTCCTCCTCCTCGCTCCTCCTCGCTCCTCGCTCCTCCTCCTCGCCACTCCTCCTCCTCCTCCTCCTTCTCCTCCTCCCCCTCCTCCTCGTTCCTCCTCCTCCTCGCTCCTCCTCCTCGCTCCTCCTCCTCCTCTTCCTCCTCCCTGGGGCCCTCTGGGCCTCGTAAGGGGTGCCCTGGAGGCAGTCTGGGCCACCTCGGGACTCCTGGGGGTACCATGGGCCAGGGGTACTTCTAGCAACACCCGAGAGGGAAATCTCCACCGTGCCGCCGGACCGGTCCGACCCTGCACTGGCCCAGCTGCCGCCCACTACTGAGTCCTGTTCGCGAGGGCAGCAAGCGACCACAGCCACAGCGAGGGTACACGCCTGGGGGGTATGCCTTGCGCACGCCGACCATCGTCCGAACACCGAAGCCAGCTTAGTAATCCCTGGTCGTGGTCGATGCGCGCGTCCCCGACGGCCCAAGCGACCGCACTCACCACCGGAGGGATCATGTCGAGGTCGGCGGCTTCTCCCCCAGGGGGGGGCCTCCAGAAAAGTCCACTCCGTTGTGAATGCGGTTCCTTTGTGGCGCCAGGACTGTCGGAGGGCGCCAGCTCTACATCAACACACCGATCCTCTCTCTGGCCGAGGTCCCTCCTTGGCTCCGAGCTCAGTGTGTGCGCAGTGCGCGCGCGACGCCGCGCGCACTTTGTGGGCCCCAGAAACAGCAAGGCTGTTTTTCACAAATTCCGAATATGTGTTTCTTGACAATGGAAGCTGCAAAAAAACGGCGACAGGGAACGGCGAAAAAACGGCTCCAGGATTGGAACCGGAGCCGGAACCGGAAACATAATGGCGACGGAACCGGCGAAACACGGAGTCGGAACCGGCCTAAAACGGCAAAACGGAATCAGAAAAAAAACGGCCCTGTCGTTTCCAGGGCTCACTGCGCGCGCGCCTACCTGGCTCAGTCAGGAAGGCGTGCCACAAAGAAATCAAGAGATACCGATACTGCAACTCCATCCCAGGGTGCGTTCGGACCGGAATTTCGAAGCGAATCCAACGGTGGTGACGAGGGTCTCCCAGGATGCACAAGAAGCCGAAGACGAGGCAACGGTAGCGATGACGGTAATCCTGGGTCCAGGATTGGCGTGGTCAGGGTCGGTGTTGGTGCACCTTCGGCGTCCCTGGGTCCTGGTCGAAGTCCTGAGAGCTGATCGGCGTCGCCGTCATCTGATTCGGCTTCTGCGGGGAGGCCCTGCGAGGCCCAAACACACGGGCAATAATGCTCGAGCCAAAAAGGCTATATCCGGGGGAGAAGATTGGATGCAGAAAAGGACAAGAAGGAGTCAGAGTAGCAAGAACAAATAGATGAGACACGTCAGGGCAGGGAACGTGGCGAGACTTCCAATCGATCCAATATGACGACTCCCGTCTACTCACGCCAACTGCACGCGACGCGCTGGGCGTGAAGGACCTGCACTGACAACCAGTGTGCAAGGGACCAGCAGGAACCCCGTATTATGCCACGCGCCCAGGAGGCTGATCATCTCTCAGCCTGTTCCTTTTCACGGTCAATGCCTGCACCAAGGCTTGCTTCCTTCTGTTTTAGGGAAATGGCAGGTGAGCCTTTTTTTATTCGTTGTTCTGACATTGGGCGGAAGCGGGGCGGGAGGGGGGGGGGTCTGGTCCTCCTCCTCCTCCTCCTCCTCCTCCTCCTCCTCCTCCTCCTCCTCCCCGATACCATCACTGGGGAGCGTTCTGGCCAGAATTCCGTGGCGAATCCAGGGGTGGCGACGGGGGGCCTCCCAGGGGGGCGGAGGGGGGCACAACGAGGAAAAACAGGCGGAGGGTAGCGGTGCGGGTACCCGCTCCTCCTCTGGCCCCTGCAAACTCTCCAAATTAACAAGACATGCGGCGCCAACGCGCAACTCTCACAGGCGCGCAGTGAAACAAGACACGATCAACCGATACCACGAAGTCCATGCGCAGGCGCTTCCGCGCGCGCACGTCGAAATCGTCATTCATTTCCCGGTGAAGCTCCTGAACACACACACAAACAGAACACAAACACAAACACAAGCACACGCAAAACCTGATAAAGCTCGCCAACACACGAACAAAACCACCACCGGCTCAATATCCGCCGACACCCGCTTACCGGCAGTGACGAGGCGTGTGAGACACTTGGCTGTCTCCCCTTCCACTTGTCACCCTCCCTCGCCTCCTACGCGCTCGATATGCCTTCCAATAAGTCTCACGAAGGGCCCCAGCACGCCAGGGAGGCTTCAACAACACCCAGGGTGGCCTGGAGACGGCCCAAGACGCCCCAAGAAGCCCCCAGAGAACACCCAAGACGGCCTCAAGATACGCGAATCATGGATTCCCATGGTTTTGGCGCTTCTGCCATTCCGGTCTTCTGGAAGTCCACGGTGGCCCGAGAGGCCCCGAAGACTGGCCCAAGACGACCCACGAGGCCCTCAAGAGGGCCCCAGAAACGGACCAGGAAGGCCCCCAAGACGGCCCAGGAAGGCCGTCAAGGCGACCAAAAATGCTCCCGAAGAAGGCTCCACTGGGGGCCCAAGAGAAGTCCAAGAGGGAGCACTCACCAGAATCCCCAGCGAGGAAGCGGCCTCGAGCAGAACCTGGACAAAAAACCGTGCACCGCGCGCGCACATACAAAATCATAGATCTTCAACATCCGTGGCGCTGGAGGTTTGGGGGGGGCTACAGGCTCTCGCGCAGGAGACCCAAGCTCAACGAACGATGAAGACACAGCAAACGGAATCCGCTGGCCCCCTTGTGGGGCCATCAGGCTGCGAGGACTAAGGTTGCTGCTCCCTGCACCAGTTCCAGCTTCCAGTTTCAATTGTTACAGTACTGCTTTCTGCTTCCTACTGTAAATTGTTACTGTCCGCGCGAGGGGGGGGAGCCGAAAAGGGCCCTGGTCAGCGTCCCCCGAGAGGGTTCTCAGAATTCCTGGGGGGGCGTGGGACACGTAAAAATACTGGAGACTCGCGCCCCCCGAGGCTATAATCCCTCGCAAATAACGCAAAGCTCGCGCCCCTGAGGCCAGAATCCCTCTTGTAAATTACCCCGCATTCGCGCCCCCGAGGCCACGATCCCTTGCAAATTACGCCACATTCGCGTCCCCGACGCCAGAATCCTATGTAAATTATGCAGAATTCGCGTTCCCGAAGCGACGAATCTTTGTAAATTGCGCAGCGGGCGCGCCCCCGAGGCCACGAATCCGCTCCGTGGAGGCTGCCGAAAAGGCGCTCTCCCCCTCTCCGGAGCAGAAAAACTACAATTTTCTGTATTGGGATATGTGCTCCGCTGGTTTTGTTTCGCCCCCCAGCCGTTTCTTAAAAATTCGGCGGTGGGCTTCACATTCGCGCCCCCCAGGCCACGATCCTTCGTAAATTACTCCACGTTCGCGCCCCCGAGGCCACGATCCTTCGCAAATTACGCCTAATCCGCGCCCCCGAGGCCACGACCCCTTCGTAAATTACGCCGCGTGAGCGCCCCCGAAGCCACGATCCATTGTAAATTACGCCGCAGTCGCGCCCCCGAGGCCACGCGATCCCTAGTGAATTACGCCAAATTCGCGCCCCCCAGGCCACGATCCCATGAAAAATTACGCCACATTCGCGCCCTCGATGCCACGATGGCTTGTAAATTACACGGGATGCGCACCCCCAGGCTACGAATCCACCTCGCGGAGGCTGCCCAAAAGCGACGCTCCTTCTCCTGAACAGAAAAAAAGAAAAACTGCAATGTCCCCAAATACTCCCTGAAACAATCAATCCCCAGCCGCTCCCAGAGCGCTTCCAATGAACAACTGGAAGAAAATGCTCGAAGAAGAGAACAAAGCGTTCAACAATGGTTTCAGAATCTCGATATGTTTTGCTCATCGCCAGCCGCCCCAGCATGACGTTCCCGAATGCCATCAAGACGGTGCCCAGACATCCCAATACAGCTCTGATGTATCCCGTTCTGATAGAGAGGGGGCCGGCGGCAGGGGGCACTGGACAGCAGATGCCCGGGCACGAGGAAAGGGCACGATGCTCCCCCTCGTCTGCACCTCCTGCTCCCTCGACTGGCCAAGAGGGCCAGGAAAGGAGACGGAGGAGACAACACCACGGCACACCGAGGAAGGGGATAAAAGGTAAGCCGTAAAGGAGGAAACCTCCCTCCCCTTCCCCACCCTGCCCAAGCCTCCAAGCCCCATCGTCCTCCTCCAGCAAGCGTGCGCGCGGGCCTCTCTCGCCGCCCGAGCCCCATGACGGGGAGCGGCCAGACTCCTCCAACCCCCACCCCTTCCTGCAACTCCTCCTCCCCCACCTTGCTCATCCTCATCTCCCCTACTGCGATGACGACAACGACGACGACGACGACGACGACGACGACGACGACGACGACGACGACGCCCTTCAGCGGCAGAGCGCGGCCGCTGCCGGCCCCCCGAGGCCCTCCGAGGCCCTCGGCGATGGCCCCCGTCGGAGGCCTCGGAGGGCCGCAGCTTGGAAGACCGCGTGGGGGGCTCAGGCGATGGCGGGGTAAAATGGATGTGTGCGCCGCGTGTTTCTCGACGCGCCCAAGTGGACGACGCCGACACCACGGCGAACCCACGCCAAGCCCTGCGCCCCGCGCCCCAAGGAGACGAAGCCAGCAACGCGGGGAACCCACGGCGACCGAGGCGCCCGAGGCGGCGTTCGCCCTGGTGGCGGAGGCGCCCTCCCCAAGACGTGAGGCCGCGCGTCGGAGCAGACGGCGCGGCAACATGTCAGGGTGCGTCATGTCCTGGGCCGCACGCGGACATGCACGTACTAGTGATGTGTGCCTCTGTTGGAGGCGCACGTCCGCGCCGACCATGTATCGGGTCGGGCCAAAGGGGGGGATAGCAAAGGGGGTGTTTGAGAATCAGCTCGCGTAGCTGATTTTCCAGGCGCCTCCCGGCGCCGGAAGCGGCTATGTATCGAGGAATGGGCCCCTCGGTGAGGCCGAAACCAGCTGCATGCAGCAAATTTCGTAACCCCCCCTTTCCCAATCCCCCCCTTTCGCCCGACCCGAATGTAGCAAAACATCTTGTCGGACAACGTTTCCTGAGCGGTACGGCCGGAGAGCACCCGCCGCAGAAATTATGCGATTAGATTTCAAAACGTGCGCGTTGCCCTAGCGGGGCCGGCGCGCACATAGCAGAAGCGTGTTTGGGTGGTGCCGATGTCTGGCCTAACCTGGCTCACAAGTTGGCTACGAATGCCCTGGGTGGCTAAAGGGTTAGGCAACTCCAGAAAATGGGCTCCCCCCACTGAGCCCAGATCTCTGCCCCCTGTAAACCGCTTAGGGCGATCACACCCGACTCATAAGCAAGGCTAAGCCAGATATCATGAACCCTTGTCCCCTCAGCGGTCGTCCAAGAGGGGGTCTCCGAAAGCCTCCGAGGCCCTCCTGCCGGGGGGACGTAAAGGTTCGGGTAGGGGCAGAGGTGGGGTTAGAAAGAACACGTTTCTTTATTTTCGGCGGGGGGTATAACGTAACGCCCCCCGCCCCCCTGCCGTGTGGCTCCGGCACCACAGGAGCCCAATTGTATATTTCCTGGCTACCGACCGTCATCGGCCCCGCCCCCCCCCCCAGATGGCATCACGTTCCGCGCTGGCGGCGTCCAGGAATACCTAGAGGTTACCGAAGCACAAAGGCCAAGTAGGAGCAGCATGTGGGTGGCGGTCTGCCCCTCAACGCCTGTGTACACCACAATGCTCGCGTGCACAGCAGCGCGCGTGTACACCACAGCGCTTGCGTACACCGCAACAGCCGTGTGCAACGCAGCGCCTGAGTACACCACAGTGCTTGCGTGCACCATGACGCTGGTGTACACCACAGCGAATGTGCTCACCGCAGCAATCATTTGCAACACAGTGCCTGTGTACACCACAATGCTTGCATGCACCGCAACGCCTGTGCACACCACAGCGCCTGTCTACAGCACAGCATCCGCGTGCAACGCAGCGCTGGTACACACCACAGCGCCTGCGTGCACAGGATCGGTAGAAGAAGCATGTGAGTGAGGATCTGCTGCGGACATCTCAAAACCACGCCAAGGAAATGTTGATAGTAGAACGGGACGTTTTCCCCTCCACCTCCTCCTCCTCCTCCTCCTCCACCTCCACCTCCACCTCCACCTCCTCCACCTTTCCACCTCCTCATCTTTCTCCTCCTCCGCCTCCTCGTCGTCCCCGTCCGAGTCGTCCTCCCTCATCCTCCCCCCCTTGTCGCGCGGGTCGGCGCTACAGCGCAAGTGCGC